ACATATTTGTTTCTTTTTCTCTCATTTGTAGCATTTTTTAAATGAAGTTATTTTTCCTTGCTTTGTCTTTTGCGGATTGGGGGGTTTTATTAGTATATTTTGGTACTGTTTTGTATTGATTTTAATTTGTCTGTTTCTCTCATTTCTCTTTTCTTCTGCTAACAGCCAAATTCTATTGTTCTCTCTTTCACTCTTCGTTTCATTTTTTACTTCTATTTTTTCCTCCTCCTCCTTTAAGAACCATCATACCTACACCTCTTTTGCATTTTCTCTGTTCACTTTTTGAAACTGTAAACTCTTTTCTAACTTCCCATCATATTTTCTTTTCTCTTAATTAACTGTATTCTTATCATCTTTTAGAACTAATTGGTTTATATACCATCTGCCCCAACCATTAATACCGTTGCAATTATTACTGCTGTGGATGCCATACTTGACACCTACTGTTTGATTTAATGCCAGATATAATACATGGTTACTTGTTGTTTTTATTAATGGCAACTGCTGACCCTACCATTTCTGAGTTTTGTGTGGGTGTGGGTGTGGGTGTGTGTATGTGTGTGTGTCTRTGTCAATTAACATTGTAGATGTCATAGCAGGAACCAAATATTTAATTTAATTCTGTATATTATTTGCATTGGTTGTTGCTATTATTTGTTTTCCCCTAATCTGTGAGGTACTGGAAACCTGCAGGGACACTACAAATTCACAGGGTAGAAACTCTGCTGCTGGCAGAATAAAATAGACAATATGATTGATGTATGTATTATATATCAAAATGCATTCTACTGTCATGTATGACAAAAAATAAATCAATCAATAAAAATTTAAAAAAAAAACTCTGCTGCTGCACTAAACTCAACCCAAAGACAGTGCCTTGTTCCACACACAAATTAATGACATTCAATCTTCAGCAATACTTTAATATAAAGAACAGAAGAGACAAAAACGCAACTTACAAATGAGCCCCAAGTGGAAACAGCATAGGGTGGGCTCTTAGGTCCCACCTATGGATATCCATTGCTATGACAGAAAAAGAGTGAAATAACACAAAGGCTGTGGACACTATACCTATGAGGAGATCTCAATCCAGATCACCYTAGGACACTTTAGCAACTGAAAACTGTGCCCTAAAAAATAAAGTAGAAGAAACCACTTCAATTGACGTGCAAGACCAATACCTTTAAAAACATGAAAAAACAGGCAAAAATATCTCCCCCCAAAATCCACAATCCCTCAACAAAGGAATCCACTGAGAGTGAGGTAGACAAAAACATCTAAGGAAGAAATTAAGAGAGTGATTACAGGAGATGAAAGACTGTTTTAATAAATAGAAAAAGTGAAAGAAACCAAGCAGAACTCCTAGAAATTAAAGACAAGATCAATCAAATGACAAACTCACTTGAAAGTATCCATAACAGACTAGATGATATAAAAAAATAGAACCTCTGCCCTTGAAGACAGAACTTCAGGCACTGAAGACAGGCTAGATGATCCTGAATACACAGAAAGCAGCAAAGGAGAAAAAATTATAGAGCATGATCAGAATACAAGAGTCTGGGATAACTTTAAAAGAACAAATCTGAGAATCACTTGGATAGAAAAGAACATGGAGATACAAACTAAAGGCATAAAGAACATTTCCAAGGAGATAGTTACAGAAAACAGAAATGAGATAGACATCTACATACAAGGCTTACAGGACCCCAAAGCGACCTACCCAATGAGAAGCTTGCTGAGACATATCATAATAAAAATGCCTAACATAGAAAACAAGGAAAGAATATTAAAGGCCCCAAGGGAAAAACAATAGGTCACATTTAGAGGCAAACCAACAAGACTCACTTCTGATTTCTCTACTTAGATCCTAATATTAAGGAGAGCCTGGAATGAGATATTCCAAATCCTACATGAAAACAACTGTCATCCAAGGTTAGGCCATCAAAACAAAAAGTCAACAAAGATATCTTCAACCTAAATAGTACTATAAATCAAATGGACCTAATGGACATCTACAGAATATTCCACCCTGAAACAGCTGAATTTACCTTCTCAGCTCTGCATGGAACTTTTTCCAAAACAGATCATATTCTAAGCCACAAATCAAATCTTAGCAAATATAAAAAAAATGATATACCCATGTATCCTATCAGATCATAATGGAATGAAACTGAAAATCAACAGCAAAAAAAATAGAAACCACGTTGTTAAACTCATGGAAATTGAACAATACTCTCTTAAATGAAGAGTGTACCAAAGAAGAAATGATAATAGAAATCAAGAAATTCTTAGAAATAAATGAGAACAAAGGCACAACATATCAAAATTTCTGTGACAATATGAAAGCAGTTCTAAGAGGCAAATTTATAGCAATGAATGTCTACATTAAAAAATCAGAGAGACCCCAAATAAATAAGCTTATGCCCCAGCTTAGAAAAAGAAGAGCAAACTTACTCCTAAACCAGTAGAAGACAGGTAAAAATTAAGATCATCAGAAAAAATATCAATGAAATTGAGAATAACCAAAAAAATACACAGGATCAATGTAATGAAGAGTTAGTTCTTTGAAATGATAAAATTGGCAAACCCTTAACCAAATTAACCAGAAGAAAAGTTAAGAAGCAAATCAAGATGAGAAATTAAAAAGGAGGTATTTGAGAACCCTTTGAAATCCAGAGGGTTATCAGATTCTATTTTGAAAATTTACACTTCAATAAATGGGAAAATCTGGAAGACATGGACATATTTTTAGACATATATGACCTGCCAGGAAGATACATAAATGCTAGATAAAACAATATCAAGTAATGAGATTGAAATAGCAATTAGAAGCCTTCCAAAAGGATCTGATAGCCTGATAGCCAGATCTTTATAGAAGAACTAACATGTCTTTCTCAAATTATTTCAGGAAAACGAAAGAGAGGGAACATTCCCAAATACCTTTTATCAAGGTAGGATAACCCTGTTACCAAAACCAGACAAAGACACATCAAGAAAAAAACTAAAGACCAATATCTCTGATGAACATAGATGCAAAAACCCTAAATAAAATATTAGCATGAAGAAACTAATACACCATGATGACGTGGGTTTTATTCCAGGAATGCAAAGTTGATTCAACATAGGCAAAACAGTAATGTGATTCATCAAACAGAATTAAGAACAAAAATTGCATGATCATCTCTATAGATGCAGAAAAGGCCTGTGATATGAATGGATCCAATACTCATTCGTTAAAAATGCTKGAGAAGCTAGAGATCAGAGGAACTTACCTCAACATTGTAAAGGCCATTTATGACAAACCCAAAGCCAATATCATACTAAATGGAAAAAAACTAAAAGCATTTCTACTAGATTCAGGAATAAGGCAGGGTTGTACACTCTTACCACTCCTATTCAATACAGTCCTTAAATATTAGCCAGAGCAATCAGGCAAGAAAAGGAAAATTAATGAGATTCAAATAGGAAAAGAAGAAATCAAACTCTCGTTTGCTGATGATATGATCCTATATGTAGAAGATCCAAAAAAAAAAATCCAAGAGAAAAATTCTAGAGCTTACAAATGAATTTAGCAAAGTAACAAGAGAGAAGATCAACACCCATAAATCAATAGCTTTCCTATACTCCAACAATGATTCAATCAAAGAAGAAATCAGGAAAACTATCCAATTCACAGTTATCTCAAAAAAAAAAAAAAAACCAAAAACCAAAAAACAACAACAACAACAAAAAAAAACAACTCGAGAATTAGTCTAACTGAGGAGGTAAAAGAGCTCTGTAATCAACATTACAGAACACCAAAGAAAAAAATTGAAAATGACCTTAGAAAATGGAAAGACATCCCATGTTCTTGGATAGGCAGAATTAGTATTATCAATGGCCATACTACCAAAAGCAATACACAGATTCAATGCAATTTCTGACAAAATACATTCTTTTTTCAGAATTAGAAAAAAACAATTCTTAAATTTGTTTGGAAGAATAAGAGACCCAGAATGGCCAAAGCAATACTAAGCAAGAAAAGTGAAGCAGGAGGCATCACAATACTTGATCTGAAATTGTACTACAGAACGGTACTATAGCCATCTGATATTTGACAAAGGTACCAAAAACATATCTTGGAGAAAAGATAGCCTTTTAACAAAAGGTGCTGGGATAACTGGATAGCTAAACACAGGAAAATGAAGTTAAACCTCTTTCACCCTGCACAAAACTCAAATTGAAATGGGTCAAAGATTTGGGAATTATACCAGAAATCTTACAACTGCTAGAAGAAAACACAGGGTCAACATGCCATCATATCAGTGGTGGCACAGACTTCTTAAGACCCCCAAAAGCACAAGAAGTAAAATCAACAATCAATAAGTGGAATAGCCTTAAACTAAAAACCTTCTGCACAGCTAAGGAAACAAGAGCATGAAGAGAGAGCCTATAGAATGGGAGAAAATCTTGGCCAGCTACTCCTCTGACAGGGGATTAATATACAGAAAAAGAACTAAAAAACCTTAGCACTAAAAAAGCAAATAACCCAATCAATAAATGGGCAGAAGAACTAAACAGAAATCAATAAACACATGAAAATATGTCAACATGACTAGCAATCAGGGAAATGCAAATCAAAACTACATTAAGATTCCATCTCACTCCAGTCAGAATGGCAAGGATCAAAAATACAAACTACAATAAACACTGGCTACGTGGTGAGAGAAAGGAACACTTGTCCATTGTTGGTGGGACTACAGTATAATGCAAACACTCTGCAAAGCAGTTTGGAGATCCCGCCAAAACCTAGGGATGAAACCACCATAGGACCCAGCTATTCCCCTCCTGGGTATTCTCCCAGAAAGATCTAAAATTGACATACTACAGTGTCACAGCCACATCAATGTTTATAGCAGCACAATTCAGGGTGCAGAAAGAAAACCATACAGACTCCACTCCCCAAACCACTCAAGCCAGGCGATGGACCACAGGTGGGAAAAGAGCACAGGGGCACTTACGTGCAGCTACGGTCATACAGCGTCTATGGTCGTATAAGCACGTCCTGAGCTTCGGGCACGCAAACGTGTTTTCAGCCACACATTCATGGCACTGCACGTTGAAGGTCCCTGAGGGAGGGAAAGCAGGCATTGGGCTTCTGCCCCAACGTATCCTTCCACCCATTACCATCTCGTCTTCCCCCATGCAGTAGCTGGCCCTGCCCTCTCTCCCAAAGACTTGCCTGAGCCTACACAGCTTGGTCTCAATGCAGTCCCAGTCTGGCCAAGACCTGCTCCCAGGAGGGAAGCCAGGCCAACCTAGGAGCTTTCCCTCTTCTCAGGAAGACATGCGGGGACCAAGAGCTCTGCAGAGGGGCCCACCTCTCCAAGGAAGTCTGGACGCTCCCCTAAGAAGCCCGCATGTTCCTGCATTTCCTTRGACACTGCTGTCCTCTCTTGCTGTCCCTAATGGGCAGGGTCACCTCCAAGCTCCCCCTCAGGTCTCCTGGTCAGCTGCTCTTTGAGGGAAGCCATCCTTCCGCCTTTCTCTCCCCTGCACACCAACACAGCCCAATTGGCCCTCAGTTCTCCCCAACAACACTGACAATGCACACCACAGCTAGCTCAGATGGCCAAATTCCTGCCACGTCCTCCTGGGACCCCGGGCCACTCTAGGAGAATCCATATGCCCTCCATGTCTCAGAAGAGATGATACTTACAAGTAGCTGGAACAGCTTTGGTCACGTTGGTAAAATTGGATTCCACAAGTGGGAGCCCCACAAAGAGGAGCAGGAACAAGGGGAGCATCATATAGGGCAGAAGCTTGGACCTGAAAGTGAAGAGACCCACAGCCAGTCAGCGAGAAGCCGGCTCCCTGCTCCACTTCACGCCCCCAGCATCCACCACCACAGGAGTCTCCCCCCTCCCGCCTTCCTCACAGGCCCTCCTCCCCACAGAACTGGAACCTATCAGAAGAATCAAATGGATATTCCTAAACCAAGAGAAGCAAAATATTTGAAATTTAAAATTCACCTGGACGCCATAACAGCCAACTGGACTCGGCAAGAGGAAACAACAAACGTGATACAGGCCTATGGAAAATGTCCACACGCTACCCAGAAAGAGAAAAAGGCCAATAGAGCTGAAAGAGGAGCTGCATCCACGGGAGTCAGCTGTGTAGCACACACGCAACTGGATTTGCACAAGGAGAAGACGCACATGGAGGGAGCAAGCGTTGGAAGGACCACTGGTACCGAAATGTCCCAATAGCAGTGAAAAGCATCACCCCACAAACTTAAAAAGGGCCAGCGGATCCACAGCAGAGGAAGTCCAAGGAAACCCAGTCTCAGACACATCACACACAAAGCACCGAAAACTACTGGGAAAGGTGAGGGGCCGAGGGAGGGGAGGAAACAGCGATAATTCAAGTGGTGGCTGACCTTCCCACACAGACCGGCAAGTGCTGAGCAAGCACGCCAGAGTCTGCAAGGGCAAACAGACTTCAAAAGAGAAGGCCAGATGCAGACCGCGACCGAGCAGGAGTGAGGGGCAGCGCTACGGGAAATCTTGAGATGTGACCCCTTTACAAGGACCCCCAAAGTCAGCCAGAGCCCAAGCAGAGGAGGCTTCAGAATGGAGAGGAGTGGCTGGGGCCAGCTTCCAGGCCCAAAGGATTACAGAGGTCAAAAGGCAGGCTGGTGACAGCAGAAAGCGACTGTGGAACCCTGAGTCCACTTTCTGACTTCAGCTACAGGAAGCCAGAAGCTGCTCACCAAAGGAGAACTAGGACTTCCCCCTGCTTGGAACTGAAGGGGACACTTCAAATAATACGTGGCCCAGATCATGCCCAGTGGAAGGCATGCCTGCTGTGCAGTGCACTGGCTGGTGGTGAAAGCAGGAGGGACTCAGAGCTAGCCTCAGCAGCCTRGAGGGCCCAGAGGGAAGAGCAGGCTCAGAGGCATGCTGGTGGACCAGTTTCCACTTGAACGGTCATCAGTGGACCCACATAATGAGCCAGGAAGGGAAAGGGGAAAGATCAGGTGGCCACTGAGAAGTCCAGGCTTTTGGAGATCCAGGATGATTTGGGCCACAGGAGAGGAGGCCAAGGTCAGGAGCAGAAGGTCCTGTGGGTGGGGCTCCAGGAGAAGCCCTGAGAAAGTGGGCTCAATCCTGAAGGAGGGTCTCGGGACTAAAGTGTCTCTGAGGTGACACACTGGAACACTGAGAGCATCTGCTCAAAGGGGTCTAGGGGACCGCAGGTCTACAGGACTAGAGTGTGGACCCCTGTGTGGGTCCAGGGCCCTGGGTGTGTCAGGGGTTTCTGAGAGGAGGGTCGCCAGGCCTGGAGGGTGGGAAGGAACCAGAAGAGCCTGGATGGGGTCCAGGAGAGGACAGGAGGGGGAGGTCCTACAGGAGAGAGGACGCGGCCTTGGGAGCGGACAGTGTGGGCCAGCAGGAGAATGCTGGGGACCAAGAAGGGGTTCTTGAAGGCCAGGGGCTGGGGAGCGGGTCTGATGAGGGCAGTGGGGGAGAAGGGTCCATGGGTCAAGGGGTGCTACGAGGGAGGAGGGTCCAGGTGAGGTGTCATGAGCTCTGGGAAGAGGGTGTGGAGGCGCAGAGGGCCCAGGAAGGAGGAGTCCCGTGGGGGAGTCTGCTGGGAAGAGGGGCGTGGGACGGGGCTGGACCCCAGAGCGGAGGGAGGTCATGAGGGGAAGGGCCCAGGGAGGAGGGTGCCCAGAGGGGAGGGTCTGGGGAAGAGGTTCCCGCCCGGAGAGCGGGAGGAGGGTCTGGTGGGGCAGGGTGGGGGACGAGGGTCGGGAGCATCGCCGTCCGGGGCCGCAGGCCCAGCTGGGTCAGGGCAGGCGGCCTGGGGCCAGCGGCGCGCGGCCGCTCAGCCCTCGTGAGGGCCGCGGGCTTGTCGCTCGGCGCCTGGCACCCTCCAGTCAGAAGGCGCGCTGCCCTTCTGGAACACTCCACAGGGCTCACTGTCCCTGCCCAAGCCGTCTCCCCCCTGGAAGCGGCAGCAGACGCCGGGCCCACCTCTGGAACCTTCCAGGAAGAAGCCTCCACCCCGCCCAGGAACCTTACTGCGCCAGCCGCCCAACTTCTGGAACCTTCCTCCCCGAAGTGGGCCTCTGCTCGGCTCTTCCGGCTGGAAACCACACCGGGTCAGGAACCTTCCGCCCGGAAGTCGGGCCTCCCTCTGCGAACCTTCCCCCGGAAGTCGGCCACCTCTTCAGGAACCTGGCCTCAGAAGCCTAGGCTGCCCTGGGAACCTGGGCGCAGGCAGCTGTGCCCCTCGGGGAGCTTCCTACCGGAAGTCGCAGCCCCCTAACTCTCCGGGCGTGGCCTGGAACGTGTGGGTTCCGGGATCCTCCTCAGCCTTCCCGCGAGGTCACCTCTCAGGCTTCTGTCCTGGTGTTCCTGGCTGTTCACTGGGTGGAACGTTCTGGAAGGCCAGGCTGGGCTCGGCCTTCTTGGATATCCTCCTCAGGGCTCCCTGGCTTCGCCTCCTCACCTGCAGATGCTCTCTTGAGATTATAGGTCCCCCCAAAGGGGCTCACCTCCAGCCACCCTCCCCGGATGCGGGAGCCTTGACCTGGCACCTCGGGCTCAGCGTCCTGACCCAGGACCCGGCCTTCTCCACGTGGGGAAATTCAGTATTGAGCTGGTGGAGTTCAGTATGTAGCTTCAACTGGGACATGGTTGGAGGGAAAGTCCAAGTAGCTGGCAGGAGTGTGGGCAGACGGGTGGAGGGAGGGTCTGGCCGCCAGAGACCGACTGCAGGCTCAGGGACTCCACCCTGGGCCCCTGGCCTTGGGAGCAAGGCAGGTGGATGATAAAGGTATGGTTCTTTAARTAACCCAACAGCAAACAGTGAAGTAGCCAACCAGTGAGCGCCTGTTGAGGACCTTCTTAATTGCTGTTCTGCTGCGGTCAGCCCCTACCTATGGGCAGTAATCTTGCACCTGTGCATCAGGGATGAAGGCGGACCAGATGGTCTGTTCCACATGCCTGCTTTGGTTTTGATTGCTTCTGCACATGGAAGTAAAAATTCTTGCCCTGATGACAGAGCTGATTGGTCTCTGAGTAATTATTTTGGCTTGTGGAGTGTGGAGGAGTTCAGGACCCCTGTTATTGCCTACATCCAGGACCCCTGACTTCTCAACCCAGAGACCCTTCTCCAGGGTCAAGGAATTCTTGGTGGAGACCTTGAGGCCTTCTCTCGCAGCCCCTGCTCCTCAGTCACTGAGTGCCCCCCCCCCAAGGAATAGCCCTGGTCAGGTGGGCAAAGCCTGAAGCAGCCCCAACCCCCACCCCTGTCTCTCTTCCTTAAGTAGCAGTGAGTTGTGAATGGACACTGCTTCTCCAGATCCCACTCATGGGCATGTTAGAGGACGAGACCTGCCTCAGTTTCCCTTGGGTTCCTGGGATTTTGTCTGAGCCTCATGCAGAGAGGTGGGAGAGCTGGCTTGTGGAGTTTTCTGTGAAAGGAGTGGCCTGCCCCCAACCTCCCCCTTTCTCTGCCTTGGCTGAGCTCCCTGACCTCACCCCACACACCTGTCCTTTCCTGGCCAATGGCTTATAATGAACCAATAAGGAGAAAAAGTTTATTTTGGCAAAAAAAAAAAAACCAAAAACTAATAAAGTAATTGATCCACAAGTGGGGTTATTGTTGTGGTTAACCTGATCATGTGGTTCAGAAGCATTAGAAACTGATTTGTGGGAGAAGTTTGGAAAATTTGGAAATGCAGGATAGAGGAGACTTAGAATGTTGTAATCAGAGCTTAGTGAGTGATTTTTGTGGGAACTCAGAAGACCAGAATGCCTGTGGACAGTAAAGACTGGGCTTAGGCAGCATCAGAGGGAAGGAAGAACTCTCATGGAAATTGGACTAGTGGATGTTTGTGTTACATTCTGGCAAATTAATTTTCTATGTTTTGCCCAGGTCCTGAGACTTTTTAGGAAATTGAATTTAAAGGTGATGCACTAAATAACCTGGTGAAGGAAATTTTAAGGCAGCACAACATTCAGGCAGTCTCATGGACATTGCAACTTTTAGCCAAGTTAACTGTGATAATCAGGAGCAGAAATCAGAGGGGAGAGATTTGAAACACTTGCAAGGGCCAGAAAAATGCATATAAAATGGAGCCAATGGAGGTTGTTGAAAAGATTGCAGCCATTAAAAGATGCTAAGTACTTTATAGAGAGAAAATAGGAAAGATGGTTTGAGGGCATGTTTGGAATTGGCAAGACCACACCCATCTCAGTCTCAAGGGTGTAAAAATAAATTTTTGAGGAAAGGCCATGGGGCACCATGCTTTCACAGGTTGTTTCACCATGCATAACCACCCCGCTCTCAGGGGCTGCTGCAGCTGTGGTCTCTGGAGTCTTGGATACTGCCCGTGATTGTGGCAGACCTTAGCATCAACCAGGTAGTGCTGGCTTTTCAGGAATGCAGAATGCTGGAGTTAGGGAGTCATGGAGGCTTCCATGTAGATTTCAAAGGTGGCTTTGAAGGCTAAGCAAAGTGTAGCAGGGTCAGAATCCCTGTAGAAATTCCCTGAAAGGGCAGTGCATGAAGATGTGAGGAGGAAGCCAAAACTTCAGGGGAGACCTGCAAGACATGACAGTAACTGGAATGCCTGCAGAGGAAATCTGCCAAAATCAAGTAGAGACACGCCAAGAGAGAGGCCGGGTGGACTGCAGCCAGCCAGGTCTTAGAGGCACAGCTACAAAGCCCTTTGGAGAGAACATGGTGCCATGTGCCCCAGAGGTTGCACATGGAGCTGCAGGGTTTGTTTGCCCAG